TGCTGCTGTACTTGCTGTTGTTGCTGATGTGTCTGGTGTTGTTGCTGTTGCCTGCTGTTGCTGCTATAGTTGCTGTTGTTGTCGGTGTAGTTTCTGGTGTTGCTGCTGTAGTTGCTGCTGTTGCTATTGTTGTTGCTGCTGTTTCTGGTGTTGCTGTTGCTGCTGTAGTTGTTGCTGCTGTGGTGGCCAGCGGTTCCTGATGTTGTTGGGCTTTCGTCGCGACAGAAGGATTTAGTGCAGCTTAGCGCAAAGCAAGGAACAAAAAAGCGGATTCGGGCAACTGCAACAAGAACTACAACAGCAGTAAGGATACAGGAAGGAAATCAAGGGGACAACTCGACTAATTGAGTACCCAGAGAACTAGCAATTGTAAAACATGATTAAGTATGTCGACAAAGAATTAAAAATATTAAAATAAAATATTGGGGATGTCACACAAGCGACTAGGGTTTCGAAATCACTTTTGAACGTTATTTTATGTGTCTAAAAGTATGCAGTAAAAAGAGGATATTCTTCCCTCTGAATGAATTCATTGTACATTTGGACTTAAAATATATTGTGGCATACTTGTAGGCGCTCGAAATGGCATTTTTAAGTGATTTCAAAATTATACAGATTTTTTGGGATGCCCATCGAATTAATGTACTTACGTAGATATAGCCTTATTGATAAGTTTCTTTTAAAAAATGCACTTTGAAAAGTATGTTATTTGTAACTTATATTTTTAAGTCAACTTGGTTCTGAAAAATCTTTTTTAAGGTATTTTTCGTTCTTGATATAAAAACATTTCTTCTTAGTAGCATAACCACAATCACGCCCTTCAAGACAGGGTAGCAAAAGGCAGAGGGCGTCATGCAAATGTTGGAGCTCGTGCGCTCTTGGCTTAGCCTTCAAAAAGTGCGGACACACATTGACTCTCGTCGTCTCGTGTTAAATCTCCTTGCACTTTAGATTCAGATAGATACCATCCGCCCACCCCAGCATCCTGCAGATACTTTTGTCCCGCGCTATTTGTTTGCACTTCAAAAGGATTTTAATCAAAGTTTTTCAAGTGGCACAACGATGCACTCTATATTGCCATCTCCAAAAGTTGAGGGTTTCAGCTCCTTGGCGAATAGAACAGACTGAGTGGGATTTATCTGCCGTTATTCACAGTGATTTAATTATCATTTCTATAACTCTCCTTTTTGTTTTTTAATCCCAATGCACGTACAATTTATGATTGCTTTCCGAGTTTGTCAGCACTTAAAGCCGAGGTTAAACTTGCTTTTGCTTAGGAGCCAGAATAGTGCTGGCTAATTCCAATTACTCCGCGGTGGTGAGGCAAACTTTTCATTTCATTTAATCAGCGGCAGGAACAGCGAACCGCAGCCGCAGCGGAAAACTTTTCATGTTTGGGAACACTTGCCACTGCACTTTGCTCTGCGGTTGACACTCTGTCCCCGGTTCCGGACTGGGATTCAGATAGGGATAGGGATTGCGATCCCCAGTCCCCACCCCCATACCATGTCCCATGTCCTGTGCCCACTTGTAGCCACTTAACAAATTTTTGCGCTGCGCCGTTTTTCGTAGCTCTTCGCAAAGGGGAAAAATCAACCGAAAAAAAAAGGAAAACAAATTTTAACGCCTCCCTTGATTGACTGCCAACTCGTAACTGTCCACTGGAAATCCTCCACTGACCAACTGGGGAACTGTGCAACTGGCCAACTGGTCAGATCCGAGAACGCAGAGAGCGTGTCCCTGACACGAGGTGAGTGCTTAGGCTGGAGGACATTAGTTCTGGTCCTGGCCATCCGTTTCTGGTTTCTGGTCCGAGTATCCGACCATCCGAGTATCATGGCCAGACAAGTGTCTCGTTGTCATTGGGGCTGTGACTTGACGATGATGCTGATGGAGTTTGCTCTCAACGATGACAGTCGGCAAAGTGCACTGGGGTAGGGCACTATCTGAAATCGGGATGAGAACCCTTGAATCCAGAAAGTTATGGGTACGTTTAAAGTATATCTCAGATGCAAAAGCCATGTGAGCGAACATATGGAGTTCACTCATCATTTCGTTATATATAGGTATCCTCTATTTTTAAAGTTGTATTTTTTGTTTTCTTCTTCAAAAACCATAACATTTTCCTGCTATGTTCAAGGGAAATATTTTTATGATCTTTGGATATTGATAATTTTTTAAGATTTTCATATTTTTTAATAGAACACATACCATTTTTATTGTCACTAATTTGGTTTTTAAAAAAAATTCTTTGAATTTAATATCAAAATAAAATTTTCTTAAAAATTTTTCTTGTTTAAAGACATTTTCACTTTAATATGGACTGTTTTTAAAGTTTTTAATATTTTTAAATAGCTTTGACTAAAACCAGTTGACCAGTTCACTTAAGTCCCAAAAAGTGTTGAGTTTTGAAGTAACTTCTTTGAACTACATTTTAATATTTTTATTTCTTACTTTCTTATCTCCAAAAGACCCTTTTCTATTGATGCATTTGGTTTATTCAAAAATATGCAATCAGCAATCACATTTGTATAATACTTTCGCTCCAATGACATTCGTTTCGGTTACTGCTTTTCAGCCTGGCTTGCTCACAAAAAACCTGTTAAATAATTGGCTTTTAGCATTTTAAACGTTTATCCAGCCATAAAGAACCAGGACAGGACCTGCTGCCCTCGAACTCTCAACCCACTCGAATCCCATTTGCTCTGGTGTCCATTAAAAGGCAATTTATGCGAATGCCTGAAAGTATGTTAAGTTTTTTACAAGCGGAAACAGATATCAGCGGATATGCACCGGAAATGGCTAATTGTTGGTGTAATACACTAGCTGAAGTGTTTGTTATATTGTGTAAAATTTAAATAAACGTGTTAGAACTGAAACACTCAATAAAATCTATTGGAAATATTACATAAATAAATAAAACATTTAATTTAGTATATTTACTTCCAAGAAGGGTATTTAATGCTTCAGCATCAAGTAAATAAGTACATTTCTTGCTGCTGTAGTTGATTTTTGATTAATCTAAAGCCAGAAAACATTGATAAATATTTGCCAAATGCAAATTCAACGCAGATGGGACAAAAAAGACCATCTTTCAGTGAGAGAAATGATTTCGATGTTTGCTGATGATTGGCTTTTTTTGTGTTTGCCAAATTTTGGTTTCCATTTATAGCCCCCTGTCTCTCTCTCTCTCTCTTTCGCACAATCTCTGACCATCTCTTTCGCACCGTATCGCAAGTGAGGTCTCGGCGTAAACGTAATTAAAATAGTTCGACTATACGAATCAATAAACAAATTGATTATGCAAATTTACTGTTTATTTGCATTCGGCTTGCCATTGTAATTGTCTGTCTGTGTGTTTTCGTTAGCTTTGAATGTGTGTGTGTGTGTGTGTGGTGTGTGTGGGTGTTATCTGTGTGCATGTATTGGACATTAATAGGTTTTGTTGTTGCCTCTCGGCCCGGCTTTATTTTAGCCAAAATTTATATACATTTAATGCTCAATCGGAGCGGAAATAAAAAGTTAGCAAAAAATACATATTGTTTGTTTGTTGTTTGGCAAAAATCATTGGGAAAAGCGGAAACGGAAAGCGCATGTTTTCCATTACGGTTGCCAAGTAGGTTGGGTTGTTCACGGGGCATCGAAAATTTTTGTAATTGACTTATTTTTACTGTAATTTATAAAGCCTTACTGCAACTGCCATAATAAAGTGTTTTCCCGTGTTTCATCCCCTTTTTCTACCCCCACTTCCCCTTATTTTCCCCGCCTCTGTCTGACTGCACAAATGCATTTTTAATTAAACACGAAAAAAACAAACAAAACGCACATAACAATACGACAAAGTAAACAAATTAAAATCAAATTAGTGTTGAACTACATTTTTTTTCACACACAGCTAAAAAATACCTTGGTAGGGAAAAAATGGATTAAAAAATGCGGGGATTTCAAACAATATGCAATTCCGAATTATTTAAAATCATTCAGGATTAATATAATTATAAATAAAAAGTATTCTCAATGTCCTTATGTCAAGATTATACATTCTTTCGGAGATCCCTTTATGCTTTAAGCTTTTAAGGTTTAATGGTTTGTGAGAAAAACATTTTAAATCTTTTAATTTTGTGCTCATCAAAATAAATAGGAATAAAATACAAAAAGAAGAGTAAGGATTTTCATTCCCCTTTCACTCATTTTTTTTATCTTGTAAACTTTTCAATTAATTAAGGTTTTTTGCCAAGAATATAAATGACTTCTATTTTCCTCGAAAAACTACCAATTTCTTGTCAAAATTTCGCATTTGCTTACCCTTTTTGGTGGCAATCTCTTGCCGCCACAGATGCACCGCAGCACAAATACTTATCGCATCAGGTTACCATCATTATATTCAAACACTCCCCCTTCCCTTTGAGTACCTCCATCCATCCATTAGGTCTCCGCTCCTCGAGTGACTTCGAAATTCGCTTAAATTGCCTGGGGAAAGTCACGAAGACAGACGCAGACAGGTGGCGAAAAGGGGGGGTGGAGCATCTGGTTGCACCCCTCCGTCAGTTTCACAATGGCAAATTGTTGCATCCGCTTTTCTTTTAGCTTTTTAAATGCAATTTCAACACACTCACACGTGTGCCTTTGCCATTTACATGCTACGATTGATGCCGTTGCCGTTGCCGTTGGTGATGCTGTTGCTCCTTGGATCTCATCCTGTTTCCGGACGATGTTGCTGCTGTTCCTGTTGCTGTTGCTGGTGGTGGTGGTGTTGCTGCTTGCCAGCTTCCTGCAACATTGCTCCATCAGGACACCCATCCTCCGCCTATTCAGCAACAGCTTACGTTGTTTGCTTTCACTTGGCATTTTGTTGCTGCTCGTTGCCCATCCATTCCCTTACCAGGATTCTCCAGCTCCACCCACCCAACTCCTTCCCCACCACAAATTGCCTTTAATTCATTTTCCGCAATTACTCCAGGCCACATGGAAGTTGGGAAAGTGGGGGAAACTACTCATTATCATACCATTCCCCCGCACTCTAGACTTTTGTCGTAGGCGCACTTTTCGCATTCCATTTGCATGCCTTGGGGGAGAGTTCCGTGTATCCATCTGCATAATGATGAGGGGATTCCAGGACCTCCTTCTGTCGGTCTCTCGTTGTGTCTCGCTTTAAGCGCATTAAGTGACCAGTGGGCAGGTGGGTGGAAGGGCAGGTGTGCAGGTGGATGGGCTGATGACCGGATGTCTGGAACCCCACTCCGTTAAGGTCAGCGCTGATCAATGTCAATTGCCGCATGTTGGCAGCCGTGAGTTGCAGCAGTCGCATGCAATTAACCAGCAGCCAAAACTGGAACTGAAGTGGAAGCAACGGCAGCAGGAGATACTCGTATCCGAACTGGATGCAACAGCTCTGGGACACGCAGAGCAAACATTGGGGCGGGATGGGGCCGCATTGGAGATGCCCCTTTGGAACAATGTTTTTTAGGGTCTACACCCCGAAAAATATAGCCTTAAAGAAGGTTAGAACTGCAAGCCTTAGTCAGTATAAGATTAAATATTATTAATACATTAAATTTGTTTTTAACAAAAGTTAACTTATGTTTTTCCTTTTTTTTCCGCTTTGATATTTAAGAGTTTTTTTTATTTGTTTAATGCTTATAACTTTTTATTTATATTTTTTTATTGAATATTCTTAAATTGTTTTTATTTTATATCTAAATTAAAATAATGCAATGTAATGTAATGTTAGAAGATAATATTTTAAAGAGGCGATTAACAAAGACATCGGATATATTATAAAATTTTATTTGATACAAAATTGTAATCAGAAAAATGTTGGAAGTGTATTTTATATTTAAACACGTTGTAAAATAATTTTTTTGCTACTTTTTGAAACGATTTATTTATTTAGTTACAAATATTTAAGTATATATTACTGATTTTTTCATATAATATATTTTTTATAAGATCAAGGACTGCACAGCTCAATGGGTAAAATATTCCACACTTTTTTATAAGTCCACTGACATATGCTGGAGACATAGTTGTACCTTAACTGGCCATCGCTAGCTGCTTGAAAAGGACCCCAACTGGAGGGCACGCTTCGCATCCTTGGGCTCCGTTTGCATCGCAACCAAATGTATCTGCATCTGCATCTCCGCCTCCATCTGCTTGGCATCGCATCGCATCGCTCTTGGCCAGCAATGAGATGCACCGTGTAGCGGGAATTGGAAAACTGTTAACCGTCTGAAGGTTGCTCTGTTGATATTCCCAGTCCGAAAAGAGAGTGACAGAGGGAGTCGGAGACTTTGCCGCTTGCTTTCGCTGTGCATTTGGTCGCCATTTTCAATTTACTGACGCTGTCATGGCCGGAAGACAAATGTGGGTGAAGTGCGTCCATGTATGTGTGACGTACACTGAGAAGTATAATGAGGAAGGTAAACAGTGAATTTGATAAACATATATTTTATATTTCTCAATTTACAAACAATTTTTTATTTAATCAATTCTCAAAAAAATATGTTAATATACATTCTCATTTTCTCTTGCAGGGAATTAAGTTCCTCTTCAGTCTGTATGGTCGCAAGATATGCCCCTCTCTGACAACATTTTTTAGCAGCTGCATTATGATCTAGCTTAATATTTCTTTCGATAAAGTAATGTTTTCCGCCGATCAGCACATATTCTTCATTAAGAATTTTTGAACTGTTTCAGAAAATTTATCCAGAAGGTTCTTTGACCTATCTTGTATCCCCTGATCTTCCAATATGGCTTGAAGTATCTGCATTTTTGACTCGAATCGCTTTTCCAGGGCTAGAAGATCGCTTTCCATTTTAGACTGGATTTCCTCAGTTTTTCTCTGCAGTGCCGCCTCGAAATCTTCTTGAGTGATAATCTTTTTTGAAGGTTCATTCAGCAAGTCCAACTCCCTTTGTAGTAATTGGGCATCCAGCTTAATTTGTTTTTCTGTCTCGTTGTCACTTAATCTGTTCAGCATATTGTTCTGATTGCCTTCAATCGTGTTCAACTTGTTCTGAATTTGAGAAATCTGGGCGAGGCAGAATTGATCGCACTGATTATACTCTGTTCGCATATAATCCTGAGATTCTACCGCTGATCCATGAAAAACCAGAAGTACACAGGCGCACAAAATGTCAGTTTTCAGTTTAAGCATTATTAATTTTATAAGACCGCTCAAAGAGAACTTTCACAACGTACTGAAAGTGATCCTATCGCTGCCAAAATAAAGAAACCTGAATCACCTTATCATCGAAAATTATATTTAACGAATCTGCTGTTGTTTCTTATCAATGCCGGACATTGTTATGCCAAAGAGATTCCTCAGCTGTAAAATAAATGTACTGCGCGATTTTATAAGAATGGGGCTATGGGTACTGCCGTTTGATTTATTTTCGTTCTTTATTAGTTATTTATTTTTAGGGGTTTTAGTTTAGTTGTGTTTTTAAGTATAAAGTATTTTAGATAAAGTTTGTGTATATTATTTCAATATGATACAAATCTATAAATATTTTTTTATTTTTATAAAGATCGTATTTCTTAGAATCTTTCTCTCGTTGTTAAAAAAAACATTTTATGAGCACATGTTTGTTTTACTGATAAGAAAGTTCATTGTTCTTTTAGCCAATATAGGAATTCCCATTTGAACAAATTTATTTCCGTAGCATTTGATTCGTTTGTGACTCAGGACAGCAATTATTTTTTGATACTAATTATAAATTTGCAGTTGTACCTAATTGTTTCACAAATGTTATTAAAGCTAAGAAGCAACAAAAACTGTCATTTTTAAATATGATTATTTGGCACCAGAAATAAATTAATTAACATTAAAAATATACAACAATTGGCTAGTACTGTTACAATACATTTACAATACTATACCATTACAATATTTTATTACATCCTTTCGCTGTAATTAATATTTATATTTCCTAAAAGCTTTGGCAAATAAAAGGCAATTTATCGAAACATAAATTTGTAATCATTTTTAAATTGAGAAGGGCGACGCATTCTTTAATTCCTATAAAATGGGGGATTATTGGAATAATACTGCCTTCGTCAGGTATGCTCCTTTTTTTAAAAGTCTTTAAATTATTGATGCCAATCCAGTAAAAGCCATCATATTTCCTGAGTTTTTCATGGATGGAAAGAAGAGTCTCATTGCTTTGTATGTACGCCAAACTGCCACCCTTTCCAATACAAGTGGCTTGAGCTGTCTGCCAATCTTGCGTTTCATTTTCTTCGATATAATAGTAGCCCATACCGATCTTTTCGAATCCTGGCGGGATCCTTAAACTTGTTGCGGCATCTTCTATCGAAGTGTTTGTTTTAGGGTCTATCTTCCTATGACCGACTTCCGTTGTGGAGTTAACTGTCTGCATCCTGTTGATTTGGTCTTTCAACTGGTTCAGATCGTAACTCACAGTTTTCAGTTGAGCATCTAGTGTGTTCTGCTGCTGAAGAAATAGTTCTTGAAGTCTTGACTCGAAACGGTCCAAGTTTGTGTGAAGTCCTGTCACTAACTCTTCCATTCTGATCTGCAGGCTCGCCTCCCTGTTTTGCTGGTTGGATTTTGTTTGTGGTTTCAAATTTTCTGGCCTTACAGTCCCGGAGTCAACGCAGGAATTAAGGATTAAACAGGCGACCAAAAAGTATATTTGCAGCTTAAACATTTTGGATAATTTGTTACTACTCGCAGAGAAGTTTTCCAAAGTACTGAACACCATAAACTTGCCAAGCAAATAATGAAACCTTTTAATTTTACCCATTCTAGGAAAAGGGGTTACTTAACTCGAAACAATGTGAACTTGTGGAGTTCGAAAACAGAGTATATTGCAGACAACGTGCCTGCAATGCGCCAATATTTTTAAGATAATAATTAAATTTTAATTTATTTAATTTTATTTTTCTAAAGACTACAATGGCATTAATTAAATTTTTTAATGTATTTAGATGGTGTTTTTATGTATTCAATATTTTTCTTGGCTCATATACTTATTAATTCGAGTTCCGAAGAACATTCCGAATTCGGATAGGATTTATAAAAATCTAGTTCGTAAGCGAACAAATTTATTTGTGACGATAAGCGCACACTATTTCGTGAATTATTTAAACAAATAATTGGAATATCTATGACTCATCGTATTACGTATTGTAGTGACGTATTCTTATTATTCTGGTATTTCACATTTTCAGAAATGAGTTTATGATTTGTTGATTAAACATGCCCATTCAGGAAAAGTGTCACTTTACTTTTTGATTTTTTATATGAATTCTTATGAGCTATACCGGATGCGAGTAATTTAGAATTAAATATTTTGAGATGCCCAATTTTGTTTAAGAACTTATTGAACTTGGGTTGATGCATTTCTCGCAGTGCAAGTGCACATGTGCCCGGTTTCAGTGTGTGTGTGTGCTGAGTTCTTGCGTGGGTGTACTGGCATGTTGTGATTGCGGACTGTTGCTTCACTTGAGTGGCGGCAAGTCGCAACGCAACTTTTTCGCCAGCTTTTCCTGATTTTCCACCCTACCCCCATACGCTTTCTCCTTAAAAAACGTGCAACAGGGTGCTTGTATTTTTCTTGCCTGGTATTTTTCCGTTGTCCCTTTCACTGGCCCACGTTCCACCGAGTTGTTGGCTTTCTTTTGGGCCGACCGTTGTAATTGTTGCTAAAGCAGCAAAACGTCGACGCTGAAATTGCAGCAACTGTAATAACAAAATGGCCCCCGGAGTTGGTCCTGTTCTTCGCCTTTCGCCGAGGAAAATGGGAAAAGGCGTCTCTGAGGCATGGGAAATATTTCCAGCTTGACTTATTTTGACTTTGTTCGCTTCCCTTTACGTTCTGCTTTTCCTTTGCTTTTCCTCCGCCTTTTTCGCCGCAACTGAGAGCAAAGTTTATTCAACGCAAAATGTGCAATGTGAAAACGTGCCGCATGTGGGGGTTTATGGGTGGTGGGCGTGGCAGCAGCATTTACTGCCCTCGCACACTGATTTCCTGTTGCATTTCCGGTCAGCCGACGATGAAGTTGTCCTTCACCCCACCATTCACCCACTTTGCCAGCACATAAAACTAAATCGAATTTAGAACACTTCCATGGGAAATTGGAAATTAACTAAAAGTGAGTTATTTGCATGGGAAATTGTTGCCAGTTTGCGGGAGAAAATATGTACATGCACTGCCCGATGCATTTATAAATTTCTACATTTGGCAAATTTAAATTAATTCATAGCATTTGTTTTGGCCAAAAACTATTCATGCCTTGTGCACTTTCAATTTTAATTTGCCAGCTATAACAGAGCACTTAAAACTAATTTATGCATTTTTCGAACTGCCTTTGCCAGGCATTTTAAAATGAAATATTTGCAAAGAGAACTGTATTGAAAGTTTATAATGATATGATTTATGTGCGTTCAGATTTTTATTTTAACTTGCTT